TGAACTGGAGAATGTTGGAAAGTGAGACCAACACTTCAGGAGGAAACAGATTAAAGAAAGTCGTTAGAAAGACTTAAATAGTGTTTCCAGATTACCTGGGAAGATGGCTGCCATCCATGGCTATTTTGGCTGCAAACGGGAAAGGCGTCAAGTTATTAGAAAGCCATCATGTTCTTAAGCCATCAGAGGCACAGGAAATAAGGTCCAAGGATGTTAATATCCCTAACTTGAGCATTCACTGTCCTTCTTCAAGCAGGCACAATTTTTTGGGGGGTGGGGTGGGGGAAGGCTAATTTATCCAGAGTGAAACTTCCAGATTCTCTCATTAATAATTTCCAGGTCCAGACCTTTATACCAACAAGGATGATTTGGTGTTATATCTGGACTAGCCTCTAAATATGTTGCAGACAGAATTATTTTTCCTCGTGGTCATAAGAAATAAGCATGTGTTAGGCATGTATGTTTCTTCTTCTGAAGCAGCAACAACTTATTTTTTTTTTAACAACAGCAACTCCAAAGCCATTTTCTTAAGAGGCTTTTTTTTTTGTAATGCTTGGAAACATTTTGCAAAGTAGTTAGAAAACAGGTAGATGGTAGAGTCCAGACAAAATATTTTCTCCAGGGAACACCTTGCTGGTTGAAGTGGGGCAGTGCCAGCACACAACACCCCAATATGACAAAAGGCCAGAAGTACTCAGCCCTTGCTTTTATTTATTACTTGCCTCCTCCCACACCTTCCAGACAACCTGTATCTGTCTAGGCAGGTAAGGAAGATCTACCAAGTGCACAAGCAGTTCTAACATCTTTTTTTCAGTTCACACAACCACGGACGAGTTTAAAGAGACAGTAAGATCTCTTCCGATGCAGCTCTAAAAAAAAAAAAAAAAATCTCAAACCCTTCCATCTGCTTCCTCAGTTTTCATTTATTTATTAGCTGATTTATTTACATACGCATGAATATTTATATCCCACCCTGCTCCAGCAATTCAAAGCAGCCAGCCACGCATAATCATCATTGGAAAACACAGGCGTTTCACACACGTCGACCGTCCCGATTTGGGACACTCATCGCCAAATGAGCATTTTGCCCCCCCCCACTCCGGAGTTTGACCCTAGTTAGAGACCGAGGTTGGGTTCACACGTTCGACATCCGCTCGCAGGACAAGAGAGAGGCCGCCGCAGTCCAAAGGCGGGCGGCTCGCTCGACCTGCTGGAGACGCCGCCAATGCCGCTAAAGGAGCCGGACCGGCCTGGGAGGAAAGCGACGCGTGTTCGGCTCCCCACCCAGGCCGAGCCTGCTCGACGCACGAGGGCTGTTGCGAGTTCCTCGCTTCCGACAGCCTCATTCCGGAAGTGGCCGCACCGAGCTTCAGACGCTCCGGGGATCACCCCGAGCGAGGGCTAAGCCCACCCGGCGGGTGGAAACCTTCCTTCTCCCCGCGTGTGGGTGCCGAGCCCTGGCGATCCGCGCGTGCACGTGCACGTTGGAAGCCCTTTCGCCCCCAGACACGTGTATAATCGATGAAGGCCTGAAGACAGGAAGAACCGGGGGAGGGGAGGTTTGGGGAGACGGGGGGGGGAGAGCTGAATTCGCAACAGCTTTCTTACCTCCCAGTGGGGCAAGGGGGAGAGAGAGAGAGGGGGGGGGTGGGTCTTCGGAATGGTCACTTTTATCACCATTACCACCACTGCCCTGCCCGCGCGTTGCAAAGCTGGTGTCCAGAACACGGGTTTCACACACCCCCTCCCTTTGCAGCAGCCAAGAGGCCGCTTGGCTGGCTGAGAATGCACGTGTGAAGGCAGAGACCCGGGAGAGAGAGAGAAGAGAGGGAGGAAGAGATGGAGAGAGAGAGAGAGAGAGAGAAGAGAGGGAGGAAGAGATGGACTGCCCCAAATGGATCTGGGTGAGATGTAAGCAATTAGGTCAACGTCCGTTTTTCAGTCGAGATAATTCCTGGTGGATGAGACAAATGGGGGGGGGGGAGAGGCAGTGTAGTCATCAGGCTTTTGAGTAGCCGGCTGCAGTAGATTTATCAGAGGTCTGAACAGATTTAGAAGGGGGGGGGCAGAGAGGGGGGATGAGACATTGGAGTCAAGGATCACTTGCAATCTGGCTACAGATTTAAATCACCCGTTTAAACCTGTTAGGAAGGATGGCAGAGAGGAGACACAACTGCATAAGGCGAGTGGCTATGACAATCCCACCCCGAAAAAGTAATGCACTTATTTAACTAAACCCCAAAATAAAAGGGTTGGGAGGGGGGAAATTAAGGGACAAACCCACTTGCCTCTAGCATATGGGCAGTTCTCGACTTAACGACCATTTTGGAAAATGTGATCTATAACCTGCACTTCACACCTGACTGTTTATACCAGTCAGTTGATCACAATTTGGGTGCTTGGCAACCAGCTTGCAGCGTGCCGAGGCCACAGAATTGCGATTTCTTACCTTTTTGGCCAGTTTCCAGCAAAAAAAAAAAAAAAAAAAACCAACCCCACACAACTGTTGTAAAATTAGACATAATTTTACGACAGTTGTTAAGCAAAACACACAGTATGACTGCAATGACTCACAATGGAAATCCCAGTCCCAATTGTGGTTGTTAAGTGGAGGACGACCGCACAAAACCCAGCATGGGCTTTGTGGTGATCACCTCAAAGCCCAGGCTGGTACCTGTGGTCCATTTGTGGTCAAAGATGTACTGGTGGTCCATTTAATCAGAAGTGAGCTCCCTGGCTGTGGTGGCACAAGATGCTGTGTCAGACGAAGCCACAAGCTAGCCACCTACCTTTCAACCTAGTTTAAGATGTCACTCGCTTATCCAGTGATGTTCAACAGGGACATTCAGGCAGCGGTACTTAGAGCTTCTTTTTCACCATCTACTAATCCAGAGGCCATCAATTTTTGGGGCACCAGGGACCAGTTCCATGCAGAGAGGTTTTTCCGCGGACTGGAGGGTGCATGGTTTTGTGTGCTGCCTGCATCCTGAAGATGGGGCTTTGCTTGTTTGTGTGGACCAGTTGCTGGCATGCTGCAGCCCAGTACCGGTCCACGGATCAGGGGTTGGAGACCCCTGTACTAATCCAATCCTGACCAGGAACAAGGGTTAATCCTAAGACCTTCTCCAGGCTCTATCCCAGTAGTTCTCAACCTGTGGGTCGGGACCCCATTTGGGGTCGAACGACCATCTCACGGGGGTTGCCAAACAAGGCAGTCCGCCATTTCCCCCCCCCCTTTTCCTTAGCTGTGCTACTCCCTTTGATTCTATTGGCTTTTGAAAGCCAATAGAATAGACTCTCTTGAATAGAGTCTAATTCTATTGGCTTTCAAAAGCCAATAGGAATTGTCCAGGCTGTCTCTGCCCTGCTGAGCCCGCCATTTTTTCCCCTTTTCCTTAGCTGTGCTACTCCCTTTTATTCTGGCTTTTGAAAGCCAATAGAATAGACTCTCTTGAATAGAGTCTAATTCTATTGGCTTTCCAAAGCCAATAGGAATTGTCCAGGCTCTCTCTGCCCTGCTGAGCCTGCCAAAAGTCCCATTCTGCAAATGGTGCTGCACCAGTTGAGTAGTCCTTGACTTACGACCGGTTGGGGAGTCGCGGCATTAAAAAGGTTGAGAGCCACTGCTCTATCCAATGCACAAGTCGAGCATTTGAACCCGTGTTTCTGCCTTGTGGATTCATTATCCATGGATGTGCTTCCTTTAGGATTCGTAAGTGATGTGAAAAATAGCATTGGGAAGCAAGCGTCCAGTGTATTTGGCAAAGACAAGCACTCCTCCATTTACAATCGCAGTGGAACCCAAAATTTCCCTTGCTAAGCTGAGACAAAAGTTAACTTGAGTTTTGTTCCGTTGCGCAACCTTCCTTGCCAAGTCGTTAATGGAATCACTGCAGTTGTTAAATTAGTAACAAGAGTTCTTAATTTGGCTTCTCCTTTGATTTTGCTTGTCAGAAGATCACTAAAGGGGAATCACCGGATCTCAGGACACTGCGACCGTCATAAACACGAGTCAGTTGTCAAGCGTCTGAATTTTGATCACGCGACCGTGGGTGAGTGTGCTGCAACGGTCATAAATCTGAAAAACGATCGTTAAGTCTGAAAAACGGTTGTCAGTCACTTTTCTAGCACCGTTGTAACTTCGGCACGAAAAGAATGGTTGTAAGTCCAGGATTCCTTGTATTCGGAGCTTTCTCACAGGTGGAAAATAAATACAATGAAAGTCTGGCACAAATTTTACAACCTGATTTACTTGTGGAGGTTTTTGTCTAATCTTACCTTCAGCTAGCAATGTTTGCTGGGCATTATGAGTATTGTAAACCCACCCCTTGGGGTGGAGGAAGGCAGAATTAAGCCCCACACCTCTGTGGGGTTCACCTGTGACTCATTTAGGATACCCGGTTAGAAACACCCGATAGTATTTCATTTGCTCGAAGGTGGTTTTATGGTTTACTTTGAATCCATTTTTAGCATCCTTGTCCACAGAGGTGTTCTTTTTGATGTGCTTAGCATTGGCTTAATATCTTTCGCCAATGTTCTTCAAAATGGGGGGAAAACAGGGAGAAATGGAGGAAATGCTTTCCTGCCCCCCATGGAGGCAGGACCACCTGTCTATTTAACCATCCTTGAAGCTAATAGACTTTAACCAAAATATGTTATTTTGATGGAGCAATACGTATAAAATGATGCAACACAGTCAATTTATATGCAACTGTTTTGTTTGCAAAATTTATCCTCTTCCTGTCACCGAGAAGCATCGAAAGAGACGACAACATTGCCTGCGGATTCCTAAAAACGTTCTGCAGTCTTATCCACTCACCTTCCTAAGCATCTGAAAAATCAGCCTTACCTAAATCATCTTTTCAGTCATAAGGACTGGAAACTTAGAAAAACAAACGGTTCTCACAATGTTGAATTGTGGATCAAGAAGATAACCAAGCAGGGGAATAGTGACAACTTTAGAAGACAACTCATCTAAGCAAGCAGCCTAATTTATTTTTGATGTCTAGGAACACAAACTCTGGCCAAAAAAAAAAAAAAAACCCACACCCCAATTTTTAAAGTTACGCCTGCAAATTTTGAAGGGTGTTCGTTGTTCTTTTTTTTGCATCTTGTTGAGAAAATTAGGAGGAAAGAAAACGCAATCGCAGATTCACCCTTGGTACAAAAACACAGTCCTGCATTAGAAAGAATAAAGAAAAATAGGACATTTTCCAAAAATACACAGATCCGTTTATTAGTTGGCCGTTTCTGGTCATTTCTCTATTTGTTGGATACCTGCTATAAAAGACCTGGGTTTCTGCAAGAAAACTTCCTGTGTTTTCCCCTTCTCTTCTTCCAACTAAACTGCATTTTTTGCTTTTGGTGTGTTTGTGCATTACATTTTTCTTTTCTGTCTTTCTTAAGGACAATGGAATTATGAACAATAGTACAGATGTCTCAAACTGGCAGTTGAGTAAAAATTTGTCTTTTTTTTTTCAGACAGAGTTGGGATGCTTGTACCTTAAACCCCCCCCCCCCCAAAAGGAAGAATTAACTGAATTATTCTGAGAAGGGCTGAGGTTTTTTACTGGCGAAAAGGGTGCATTAGCCTTCTGTAAGATCTAAGGCAGTGGTTCTCAACCTGTGGGTCGGGACCCCATTTGGGGTTGAACGACCATTTCACGGGGGTCGCCAAACAACGCAGTCCACCATTTCCCCCCCTCTTCCTTAGCTGTACTACTCCCTTTTATTCTACTGGCTTTTGAAAGCCAATAGAATAGACTCGCTTGAATAGAGTTTAATTCTATTGGCTTTCAAAAGCCAATAGGCATTGTCCAGGCTGTCTCTGCCCTGCTGAGCCCGCCAAAAGTCCCATTCTGCAAACGGTGCTGCACCAGTTGAGTAGTCCTCGACTTATGACCAGTTGGGGGTCGCGGCATTAAAAAGGTTGAGAACCACTGATCTAAGGCATGTTTCAGACTTTATTAGGGTGCCTGCAAGAGGCTCGTGGTTATAGGACTGTTTGTCCCCCGAGGTAGCTCACTCATCAAGAAGGGACGAGTTGAAAGAGTTTTAACTAGCTTCTTTAGCATTTTTCTTAAAAGGGGAGGTGTGGGTGAGGGGTATGGAATAAAACCAAATCATTTGAAAGAAAGCAGTTATACCTTCCATTTCAGCAGGCATAGCCTTGGTATATATCAGGGGTAGGCCACCTTGGCTCTTTTATGACTCGTGGACTTTAACTCCCAGAATTCCAAAGCCAGCATGGCTCAGCATGGAAACCTCTCCCTTTCTTCTCAGCATGGCTGGCTCAGGAATTCTGGGAGTTGAAGTCCACGAGTCATAAAAGAGCCAAGGTTGCCTACCCCTGGTATATATGATCCTCATATACATAGGATGAGCCTCAAAGAAGGGCAATGTCCAGTTCCGGACAGTGCCAACAAGATGTCAATGTGCCCATGGTTGAATAAGCACAAATTCACTCCTACCGGCCTTTCTTCTTTGGGATATGGCGGGGACGAGGCTGGCGGAGAGGGAGGGCTAACTCCAAATCTGGTTTCTGTCCAGCCGTGGCTGTTGACCTGTCCTTCTGGTGGATCAGGTTGGTATCTTCTGCCGTGATGGGATGAATGATCTGGCCGGGCTGAGTGATGACCCGTGGGGCTGTCAGCTGTTGAAAAGCCCGTTGCGTGTTCCAAGTGGAGCCCACCGGCACTTGGATGCTGCGTTCAAATTGTTGGCTGTTCTCAAAGGGGAATGGGAGCTGGTTTACCTGTGGGAAGAAAGGGATCCGTCATGATAGGTGAGAAAGACCCTGGGAGATGGGAGGCACAGATGCTGTCCAGGGAGAGGCTAGACAGCATGGTCGCCACCTGGATAGCGGGTGGGGCAAGAGACTCTCAGGCTGCAAAAGAAACGGTGTCATTTCAGACTTACACGATTATCTTAATGTAGCTTTGCGATAAAAAATAGAATTAATTTATCTGGTTATGTTTCCTAGCTGGTCTATCTGGGAAGGCTGATAGAATCAGTGTCAGCCCCGAAAGGAAAGATTGAAAAGCAGAGCATCCTATTGTCTGAATCTGCGCTAGCAATCTGCATTAGACTTGTATACTAGCCCCATCAGGTTCGAAGTCCAGGCTGTGGGCAGAGTGAGCCTGCAATACTACACTTTAACCACTAAGCCACCAGGGCTCATTCAAGCCAGCGCAACATCAGAAAAGGCAGAAGAGGCCTATCTGCCTTCTGAGTTAGTGATTATTGTTAAACTTAGTGGCTTCATTTATTTTTCCAAGTTCATCACAATTGGTAAAACATGGACTCAGCAACATAGGTCACGAATCTAAGTTTTTAGATATAAAATAATGGCCTCATTTATACAGGCTATTAAGATTTGGAAATAGTTTCAGGTAGTTGCACAGCCAAAATCTTAAAAAAAATAAAAATAATGATCAGAATCTTGCAATATTTCAAAACACTCACCCATGCAATCTTCAGTATGATTTTTGGAAATTACATAAGATTCTCAGAAATAAAAAAAAGCTTTTAAATGTATTTTTTCCTATAATATTGGATTTCTACGGATTTTATGTCAGCATATCATAGGTGCCATTCCTGTCCCTTGCATACCACTGGTTGAGCATGCCCAATTCATTTAAACCAGGTTAAAAATGGAGTAATGGCACTCTTATTCTAAATGTGGTTATATTATTGGTAGCTTTTCATGTTGGTTCAACTTGGGCCATTCCATTCTTTCACAATTCATTGTATTGGTTGAACCTAGAAAACAGGTTAGCTCAAAAGCCAAATTAAGTGCTTTGTGTAAAACCAGCAAATGTGTGGTTTTATTCGATTTGGAGCTAGCGTGGTTTGTGAATCTGTCTGCTTAGCTCTGTGTTGTTGACCTGCCAATTCCGGCTTGCTTTTAAATGGGAGCCTGTGTCGGGAGAGAGGTGCATCAATCAATCAACAAATCCAATTCAATGCACAAAATTTACCGGGAAGAACCATCCTGAAAAGGAATGTTGATCTCACCTGATGAGCTGCGGTTAAAATATTCCGTTGTTCGTTCAGCAGGACGTGGGGCAGGTGCCGGTCTTTCCTCGGAGGTCCAGGTGCTGGCTTGATAAGGAACCTAATAAAATAACAAGAGTTGGAAGGGATTTTGGAGGTCTTCTAGTCTGCTAACCCTCTGCTCAAGCAGGGAATCCTATACCAAATGGCTGTCTAGTCCAGTGGTTCTTAACCTTTTTAATGCCGCGACCCCCAACCGGTCGTAAGTCGAGGACTACTCAACCGGTTGTAAGTCGAGGACTACTCAACTGGTGCAGCACCGTTTGCAGAATGGGACTTTTGGCGGGCTCAGCAGGGCAGAGACAGCCTGGACAATTCCTATTGGCTTTTGAAAGCCAATAGAAGTAGACTCTATTCAAGAGAGTCTGTTCTATTGGCTTTCAAAAGCCAATAGAATAAAAGGGAGTAGCACAGCTAAGGAAAAGGGGGAAAAAATGGCGGACAGCCTTGTTTGGCGTCCCCCGTGAAATGGTCGTTCGACCCCAAATGGGGTCCCGACCCACAGGTTGAGAACCACTGCTCTAGTCTCTTAAAAAACTCCTTTGATGAGCACCCACAGCTTCTGGAGGCAAGCTGTTCCACTGGTTAATTGTTAAGAGAAGCAAGAGATTGAGCAGAGAACAGGGCAGAGGCCTTGCCAGCCGTCCATCCTCATCCCCCAAAGTACCTTTTCCTCTTTTTTTTGCTTGGCTGCAGCCCCACGCCTCCCCATTCGCCCCATCCGGGAAGCACCAGGTCAATGGCTTTGGGTTTGCTGCCTTCTTCAGCTGCTCGCTTCTCTTTCAGGAAGTCATCGAGGACGTTGTCGCTGGCAAAAGCCTCTTGGATCATCTGCCGCTGGCTCACGGCGGACTCCAGCTGCCCAAGGAAATAAAAACAGGCTCTGGTGAGGAAGGACCTAATGGGTTTTCAGTCAACAGGCACAGTGGCAGATGAAGAGGATAACCGTGGCGCTCCGAGCTATTTTAAATGCGAATTCTTAAAAAAGGTCAAGGATTGCGTTACGGGAAGCTCAGAACTCACTTAAAAGATCTTGCTGGACCCTAAAAGGAGATAAAACGGTGTGGAATGCAGGACCTAACAGTGGCTTTGGAACTTGTCTCTCCCGATGCCTAAAAAATAAATGTTAAAAAGCATGCGCTAATTCATCTTGGGGGCAATGGTTTACCTGGTTTTATTCTGAGGACCAGCCCAGATTCCTACACTTTCCTTCCTTCCTTCGGTGCCTCTGAATGAACACCAGCTCCTTGGAATGTCAGGATTAATCCCTGCAGTTTTCTTGGCAGGATTTCCAAAGTAGTTTGCCCTTGCCTCCGCCTTCCTAAAGCAGGGAGAGAGTGACTGGCCCAAGGTCACTCAGCTGGCTTCACTGTCAGAGGTGGGGCTAGGAGGTTAGATTAAAACTCACCGTCTCTTGATTTTGAGTCAGGTGTTTTCATCACCAACCCAAAGTGGCTCCATGCAACTCCCAGGTAGCTGTGCTTTCAGCTGTCCTGAATGCACCTCATACTAGAGCAGGGGTCTTTTTTTTTTGTTTATAATAATTTTTTATTTTTTATTTTTCCAAACTCTCCCCCCTACATATATCGTGATATTTATCAGATGTTAACATACATTCTTTTTACATTCATATATAAGATACTTTTAATAAAATGACATAAATACATACCCATGACTTTTGGTGTTGCTCGCCCATTTCCCCTTTCGCTGTATCCACACTCCTCCTTCTCTACCTTCTTTCTCCCTTTCTTCTCTTCCCTACTTCCCTCTTCTTCCTCTCCTCTTCTTTTTCCTTCACTCTCCTCCCCTTTCTCCCCACTTCTCCTCTTCTCCTCCAACCTTCCTACTTCCTTCTCCTCTCCTTTACTCTTTTCTTTTCTCCTCTCCTTTCTTCCCTCATCTAGAGCAGGGGTCTTCAAACGTGGCCCTTTTATGACTTGTGGACTTCAACTCCAAGAATTCCTCAGCCAGCATGGCTGGCTGAGGAATTCTGGGAGTTGAAGTCCACAAGTCATAAAAGGGCCACGTTTGAAGACCCCTGTACTACTGTTCCACAGCGAGAAGAAACTTGAGAAACGTGAGCAGCTCAAGAATAGATGCGTAGCTTCCACTCGCGCATGCATGAAAGAAGCCCACAGGAGCTGCCGGGTTATGACCTGTCTTGTCTTTCTAATTTGGGTCAACGTGACCTGGACTCAACATTTAAATGAGTGAAAGGAGCAAGCTCACATGGAGGAGCTGTTATCGCCCTTTCAGAGTCAGGAAAATAATATGAGCAGTGCTCTCTGAGCTCGGTGGTTTTCTTGCAGATGTTTCATGACCCAAACGAGGTAACATCACCAGTGTTAGAAGGGAATGTGATTTATGGAATGGAGGATGGAGGAGGAGATAGGAGAAGGACTATAGGGTGCTAAGCTTGCAGACATTTCATTACCCAACTAGGGAACATCACCAGTGTTAGAAGGGAATGTGATTCATGGAATGGAGGAAGGAGGAGGATATAGGAGAAGGACTATAGGGTGCTAAGCTTGCAGACATTTCATTACCCAACTAAGTAACATCACCAGTGTTAGAAGGGAATGTGATTTATGGAATGGAGGAGGAGGACTGTGGGGTCCTTGGTGCTCTCTGAGGTTGGTGGTTTTCTTGCAGACGTTTCACGACCCAAACCAGGTCACATCATCAATGCTCTCCAATGAGCACAGACGAGGTTACCTAGTTTGGGTCATGAAACGTTGACAAGAAATCCACCAAGTTCAGAGAGCACCAAGGACCCCTCATTTCAGCCCTGAGCTACAAATATTCTTCTTGATTGGAAAATAATCTACCAAAGGGGTGCTTCTTCTTCCTGCCCTCTATCCGAATACCTCACCCTCCTTCCCCGATGGCGCTCACCTCATCCTGCACAGCAGCGGGCACGAGCGGGCACTGTGTGACACGTGGTGTTCCCGCGAGGACCGCCTTGAGATCAATCAGTCTCTGTTGCTTGGCTGATTTCTTGGACTTGCTGATCTGGGGATGTAGCAGGGACTCGGCTCCCACTGACTGGGAGGACTGGGTCTCTTTGGGTTGCAGCATCTCGTCTTCTTGTGGAGCGTCTTCCGGCTCCAGGCCCTCCAGCTCCTCCAGGGTGCGGACCCGTTTCAGCTTCTCACTCAGGAAGGGCTGCTCCCCTGAGGGGGGGCTCGGCGGAGCATCCGGTGGGACCTCCTCTTTGCCAGGTTCTGCGCCAGAATCAAGATAGTGTGCGTGATAGGAGAAGAGCCAGGGTGGACTAAAGCAAAGCTCCATTTCAGATAGGTTCACACATGCTAGGATAAAATGGGAATTGCCTGTGTTTGCATAGCAGACACCCCCCTAATTAGCCAAAATCATCCTGATTCTCTGGCTTGGGTGCATCCGGCATGGTTCCCAATGACACGTAGGAATGACCTTGGGAGACAGAAGGAAAGACTACGATAGTCAGATAAGAGGCAGCTGAGCCCACAGAAGGAATGGGGGTGTAATAAGCATCTCAGAAGGGACCCCCCCTAGTTTCTCAGGCTGTAAAGGTGAGGGGAGAAGTATACTTCCAGACCTGCAAGATTCTGTTAAGGTAACCTTTTGCAATAGTGCAGACATACTTCATCTGGGTGTGCTTCTTGTCTGGGCTACCTCACAAGGCTGACACAAATACATTATGTGGATGTGCAAACACTCAAACACCCAGACTAGCCAACTACATTAGAGCCTATTGCGTCATGCCAAGTCAGTCAAAATAGCCATAGCACTTAGATTTATATACAGCTTCCTACTGCTTTGCCGCCCTAAGCGGTTTACAGAGCCAGCATATATCTGATTAATGCAGTGGTTCTCAACCTGTGGGTCAGGACCCCATTTGGGGTCGAACGACCATTTCACGGGGGTCGCCAAACAAGGCAGTCCGCCATTTTCCCCCCCTTTTCCTTAGCTGTGCTACTCCCTTTTATTCTATTGGCTTTTGAAAGCCAATAGAATAGACTCTCTTGAATAGAGTCTAATTCTATTGGCTTTCAAAAGCCAATAGGAATTGTCCAGGCTGTCTCTGCCCTGCTGAGCCCGCCAAAAGTCCCATTCTGCAAACGGTGCTGCACCAGTTGAGTAGCCCTCGACTTACGACCAGTTGGGGGTCGCGGCATTAAAAAGGTTGAGAACCACTGGATTAATGGTTCTATGTAGCAACCCAATTGGCTCACGTTGTGCAGGTACACTAGGGGGTGGGTTATACAGTATGCAAACCAAGCCAAAGAGTGCACAAGTATCAGTGAAGGGAAAGGTTCCTAGTTGTCATCCTCACCCACGATAACAACTTTAGTTCACCAATATCTGCAGGCCAATAGATTCTCCAGCCCGGTTATAAGTTGACGGTGCATGGCTGGCTGAGGAATTCTGGGAGTTGAGGTCCACAAGTCTTTAAAGTTATCAACTTTGGAGACTCCTGAAATAAAGGACCCCCCCCAGCTATGATTAAAGCTTCTCTGGATACTTTGGCAGCTCACCTGGAAGGCCAGCACTGCCTCGCTGACATTTTAGGCTCTGCCATGGTCCATCAGAACCTTGAGACAGATCCTTCTCGCTGGCCATGACTGGTTCTTCTCCTTCTCCCTCACTCTCTCCGCTGTCTTCTACTGGAAGATTTGGCTTTTCCTTGGATTCTGCAGGACCTTTTCCTAACATCCAGGGGTTGCTGAAATCCATATGCCTCTCATTGACAACCTCTGGAACAAGATCCTTCTGTGCTTCAGGGCTGTCACCTATGTCTTCCTCTTCGCTTTCTGAGGCAGGACAGACCTTCTTGGTTAGTTCTTTGTTCTGAGCCAGCTGCTCTTGCATTGCTTGCCTAGCCTGGGAAACCAAGGTATAAATCACCATGTAGCAGCCAAAAATATAAGTCGATGAACGCAAGATGGGTCTCACTTTGACTTATTTTTATCTAAATCTTTAGAGATCACCAATCAAAGCCAGGAACAAAAAAAGAACAAGAAGCAAAAACACAAGTTCTGTAGGAGGCCAATATCCTAGCTGGGCCAACTTGTAATTTATAAAGCACGTTTTCGTCCCGGTATCTACTAGGGATGAGATGTTAAAACAATAAAACTTAGAGAGAAGCTACTTTTGGCATCTGCTCTTCCTAAAACCTTCGAAGTCAGAAATTCTTGCGAAAAGTAGACATTAATGAATGAACCAGTGCGCATAATTACTCTTCCTTAGACAATTTCTCCTTTAGAATGGGGTTTTCACCTCTTTTCTGATGAATGTAGAAATATTGGGACTAACTCCATTTCATAGCTATAGCACTTAGACTTATATACCACTTCACAGTGCTTTATAGCTCTCTTTAAGTGGTTTACAGAGTCAGCATCTTGCTCCCCCAACAACCTCGGTCCTCATTTTTCCAGCCTCGGCAGCATAGAAGTCAACCTTGAGCCAGTGAGAGTCAAACTGCTGACAGTTGGCAGAATTAGCTTGCAATACTGCAGTCTAACTACTGCGCCACCACAGCTTAACAACTTAAGATGGTAAGGAGGAGGCTTCTCCAATGCTCTCTCACCTGGAGGTCATACTTGGCCATAAGGACAGTTGACTTGGCCCACCTGCCCTTATTCTGGTGTTTGAGGCTCATCCTCTCCTGTAGAAAGAAAGACAGAACTGTCAATACAACGGAGAGCTGGTGTCCCCCAAAGCAAGAATGCCGGCATTTCAGAGGCCTCATTTCAGTTTTATTTGGAAAAAGACTAGCCTCACCTCAATCCGTGCTTTTTCAATCTTCTCCAGCTGCTCCAGGGCAGCCTCGGGATTGCATTTCCGCAGCGTCTCAAACTCCTGCAGCACCTTCCGACTCTTCCCCTTCCTAAGCATTTTGTGAAACCTTGGGGCGAGAAGGAGAGAAAGGCCATGAATGTGATCACCCAGCTTCTGAAAAAAAAGAGTTGCAGCTACTTCTGGATTCAAGGAAGGCAAGGCAAGCCAAGAGAACAAAGCACTGGAGAAGAGCTAGGAACCGCTCATCCTCCAGATGTTTTCATAGTACATCTCCCATCATACAGGTAAGTCTTCAACTTACAACAGTAACGGAGCCTACAAAACCATTGTGTGGCTGTGGGATGCTGAAACAATCATAAATGCAGGCCGGATGTCCAAGCACCAGAAATGTGATCATGGGTCCTGGCCACTGGAACCAGGTCTTAAGTTCCTTTGGGAGGAAATGCACCATAACTGAATAGTTGCTAAATGGTTGGTCCTAAGTCAAGGATCTCTTCCACTGCTGAGGAATCTCTGGATTTCTACCCTATTTAGGCCCTATATCAGGGGTAGGCAACCTTGGCTCTTTTATGACTTGTGGACTTCAACTCCCAGAATTCCTGATCCAACCACGCTGAAGGGAAAGGGAGAGATTTCCAAGCTGAGCCATGCTGGCTCAGGAATTCTGGGAGTTGAAATCCATGAGTCCTAAAAGAGCCAAGGTTCCCTACCCCACCCTAGATTTTTGCACTCAACTCGTGCTCAGTTAAATGAGTGAGTCACGTGTTCCAATCCTTCCCAAACCTTGGGAAAAGGGGAGGGAGAACACAATTGCCCATGATTTACCCATTCAGTGGTTCAGGGATTAAAGATACTGAGCTTGTCAGCTGGCAAGCTGATAGCCCAGGTTTGAGTCCTGAGCACTATGCGATGGGGCGAGCTCCCGTTCCTTGCCTCAGCTACTTCCCACTTAGCAGCTCGAAAGCCTGCCAATGCGAGTAGACAAATAGGTATCACTTTGGTGAGAAGATAAGAGTGTTCCATCTGCTCGGCGTGTACTCATGCTGGCCACGTGGAAATATCTTCCAGACAACGCTGGCTCCTTCGGCTAAGAAATGGAAATGAGCACTGCCCCCCCCCCAAGATCGGAAATGACTGGGCAGGGGAAACCTTCACCTTTACCCACCCCATTCAAGGGAAGCACCTGTTTCTTACATTATAACACATTCCCATCTGTGGCATTCCAACACTGCTTACTTTTTACTCTTAATTTTCCGTTCCCGTCGGGCTTTTGCTTCATAATAAGACTGTATGGCCCGGGCTCTCTGGAGCTCCATTCTGCGCAGCTTAGCCTGGAATACATGGAAGAAGCAAAGAACAGCTGGCTGGAGGTTTCGTTAGGTCACAGTAGAGTCAAGCATGACAGAGCAGGCAAGGTAAAGAATGGAATGGGCTTGGTGAAGTCAAGATTTACCTCTTCCAGGCTCATGGCCTTCAAGGAGACTTTTTCCTGTGGGGTCAAAAGTGGATCCTTCACTGGCTGCTGAGCTTTGTGGAGAAGACTGAAGATTTCTTGCTCCAAGGGGGTCCGTGCCTGCAAAACGGGCGTGTAGGACATAAACCACGTAAGTTCAGGCTAGGTTTGAGGGAGGTTGATGAAACCAGCAAGGTGGCTGCTATTGTTGAAGGCAGAATGGTGGGGACCATCTTGATGGTTTAAAATTAGCTTAAAGTAGGATCAGGATGCACTGGGAGATGACTTGAGTGATGAAGAAATACATCTGTTCCCTTAAATCACGGGTATCAAACTTGCCACATCATGTGACGTGTCGCAACTCTTTTTGCATTGATGGCATTGGGGTGGGCGCGGCTTCAGTATGATGAAACTGGCCCACAGGCAGGCAGTTTGACATCCCTGCCTTAAACTGACTGAAATTAATAAAGTTGGAGATAATCAAAATATTACAAATATAGGCCTTGACTTGCGACTGTTCAAAGTTGAACATGTACCTTGGGGCTACTTATGAACTGGATTTGAAGTGTCAATGGTTTCTCTCTCTCTCTCTCTCTCTCTCACACACACACACACACACACACTCATGCAACTGAACTTCGGGCACTTTGGCAACATGGCCGCATCTATGGATTAGGAGGATGGGAAAATCCAGCCAAGTGGTAAAACATTCTGTGATTAAAAACCAGGCGATTGGGAGTTCTAGTCTTGGCGTAGACATGGAAGCTACATGGGTGACTGTGAGCTGGTCATTCTGTCTCTGGCAGAAGGCAAGAACAAGCCATTTCCAAAACGTTGCCCCACAAATGCAGGGACTTTTCCAGGTACTTGCCTGGAGTCAACTTGACTTGAAGAAAAAGAAAGAATGAAGAAGAAAGAAGAAGCACAATCACTACAACATCCTGTGTGAATAGAGCCGCCAGCCTCTCTAATTGGCTGGATCATGGGCTAGGAAAAGCATGGCAAATGGTCCATACAGCACAACCTATATATTTCAGAGAGTAGCACACTGCTGCAGCTAGACCAGGCCAACTTTAACTACCATAGAGTCCAGATAACACTGACCTGCCAACTTGATATCACTTCCTCGATGGGCATAATGTTCACACTCTCCTGCTGCAGCGGGAAGACCAGTTGCTCAGCCCGTCGATTCTGCTTCACGACGGGTTCCCATTTGTTCAGCGCTTCGGCTGTCTGAGCGAAAGCTGCTTCCCTCACCACCTGCAGAGAAACCGGATCACCATCAGCCCCAATTTTCAAAACATCCCGTTGCAGGGGTAGGCAACCTTGGCTCTTTTATGAATCGTGGACTTCAACTCCCAGAATTCCACGAGTCATAAAAGAACCAAGGTTGCCTACCCATGCATTAAGGAGATAGTTATCAATTACAGAAACTCATTTCCGATAGCACTTTACAGACCAAGGGCTCTTGATTGCCTTTTTTTTAAATTCTGCATTTTAATTATTTGGTTGGTCTTCAAACACGAGATAAATAAATGATGCAATGGGAAGGACAGTCACAATTCAGTGCCAATGCTAGTCTAGAAAGGCTTTTGAGAAAGCAGCAAGAGAGGATCTAATCTGTTTAAACGTGGTGGCAATTTCTACCGTACAGAAAAAAATATCTCTTTAGAACAGTGGTTCTCAACCTTTTTAATGCCGCGACCCCCCCCAACCGGTCGTAAGTCGAGGACTACTCAACCGGTCGTAAGTCGAGGACTACTCAACTGGTGCAGCACCGTTTGCAGGATGGGACTTTTGGCGGGCTCAGCAGGGCAGAGACAGCCTGGACAATTCCTATTGGCTTTTGAAAGCCAATAGAATTGGACTCTATTCAAGAGCAATAGAGTATTCAGCTAAGGAAAAGGGGGAAAAAATGGCGGAGTTGTTTGGCGACCCGCGTGAAATGGTCATTCGACCCCAAATGGAGTCCCGACCCACAGGCTGAGAACCGCTGCTTTAGAAGTTCCCCGTACGAATATATGGCTGAAACTCTCAAGCAGAATGCAAATGCAAATTCCTACCAAGGATACATACTCCAACTAATAATACTCTCCAATCCTTTCTTCTGAACTTACTTGCTCAGTCTCCTCCTTGCTAAGTGGAATTTCAGTTGGTTTTTTCTGCTGGGCTTTTTTCAGCTGTTTCTGAATGGGGCGCAGAGCCGACACAGCAGACACCGGTTGCAGCAGGTCCGAGAGCTGGACTTTCTCACTGGCACCTGCAGAAGAAAATGACATTTCTGAGTCTGGAATAGAGGGAATATTGAAGTTCACATTTTTCTTCTACGCATAACTGGCCAATGCAGTTTGCACTGGAAACACAAAAATAGTTTTAACTTAGCACAGAGGAGTTACCTTAACTGCTTATGACCCACAGTTGAGCCCAAAATTTCTCTTGTTCAGCAAAACAATTGTTAAGTGAGTTTTGCCCCACTTTAGGACTTCTCTTGCCCCAATTGTTAAGTGAGTCACTGCAGTTGTTCAGTTGGTTGTTAAGTGAATCTGCCTTCCCCACTGACTTTGCTTGTCAGAAGATCACATAAGGTGATCGCATGACCCTGGGGCAGGGGTAGGCAAGCTTGGCTCTTTTATGACTCGTGGACTTCAATTCCCAGAATTCCTGAGCCACCATGGCTCAGCTTGGAAACCTCTCCCTTTCCCCTCAGCACGGCTGGCTCAGGAATTCTGGGAGTTGAAGTCCACAAGTCATAAAAGAACCAAGGTTGCCTAACCCTGGAATAGACGGTTGCAGAGAAAATCTTACCACGTAGTCCCTAGGAGTCAAAAACGACTTGATAGCACATAATCAAAAGGTCTTGTATGGTCTTAACAGCGAGAAACCATCCCACAAAATCTCACCTCCGCCGCCCACATCGAATTCTGAAATCTGCGCGCTGGCCTCAGTACGTTCAGCCTTTCGCCGTCTGCAGGAATGACAGTATCCAACTTGTTAGTGCAAAAAGATTACAGGATACCCTATGAGGATGGGTTGTTCTCATTCTTCCTCCCCACCAAGGACTTTCTCTCTTACCGCTTCCCACCAACCAAGGCGGTGAGGGCATCTACCAGTTGCTGGTGCTTCTTGGCTGCCACTTCCTGGTCCACCTGGGGAACAAAGACTCTCAATGAGCAAGAACTCATAAAGCCAGATGAAGGTAACAAGCTGTGGGAAATTATCTCTGCATCAACAGGCTTTTGTTGTGCATTGTTGTTCAGTCACTAAGTTGTGTCCCACCGACCATAGCACATCAGCATCCCCCCCCCCTCCTTCTTCTGGAGTTAACATTAACAGGCTACCTCAAGGGGAAAAAAAAAACACCTGCTAGGAAAGCAAACGGATTCATAAATTGTTCCAAATCCAGCGTTTACTGTAGATCCAAAACAAGAATGGAAAAGAGGAAAGAGAAGGAGAAGTCAAATTATGCCAAAATAGAATAACTTTATTGTCACTTTAAATGTACACTAATTGGCATACGCTAAAACAAAATTTCTTTGCATACAGCTCTCAGAGGGTCACCACCTCCAATATACACTACATAAATATGACAAAATTTGCATATCCCCACATATATTCTATGACAGAGAGAAACAACACAGAAGAGGGTGTCAAGAGTATTTAAAACCGGCAGTGTTTCTCAACCTTGACAATTTTACGGCATGTGGACTTCAACTCCCAGAATTCTGGGAGTTGAAGTCCACATGCCTTAAAATTGTCAAGGTTGAGAAACACTGCAACAGGGAAGCGCCATTCTAACTTCTATGTAATAGGACATTCCCCCCCCCTCTCCAAACACGCTACAGTTGCAGAGCCTTTCCCATTTAAACTCAAAACGCATTAATTGCATCCAAGGTGCTTACAGTTGCAAAACTTCCCAATTAAACTCAACTAAATGCACGAAAAGGCAAGCCATCTGCCGCCGGTCGTGGGAATGCATGCTTGCTGATCCCGTGCAGAGGACGATTACGTGAAATCAAACTTCCAGAATTAGGAAGAGGGTCGGGAACGATGGCTGAAGCCGGAAGGGACCAAGGGATCTTTTCTTGGAGAAGCTCACCTCTTCCACCTCGTCCTCCTCACTCGGGATCAGCTCCCGCTCGGAGGGATCGTCCTCTCCGACAGCCGCCATGGGGGCGAAGCCACCGAAAGTCTCTCTCTCCCGCCCCACGTCCAGCCAAACACGGGAACCGCCGCCTTTCCTCCTCCTCCTCCTCCTCCTCCTCCGAACAGGCTACGGAACACGTGCAAGAGCCCTCTCAGCCGTAAAGCACGCCCGCAGTTCCGCCTTTGAAGCCAGACTTTTGCAGCAGTTCCGCCCTTTTTCCCTTCTTCATTCCTGGGCTGGAATTAATACAGTTCAGGGGCTGTTCTCGTCCGGGTGCGGGGATGCCACCTATGCTAATTATTTAAAATTTATGCAAATCGGCAATTACCCAACCTCACGCGTTTGGAAAGGGCTCTGATAACGCCGGGTGGGAGCCAAGACCTCGCCTCCCACCCGCTTCCTCCGGCATTATGCAGAGGCAGAGCGAATGCCTGGCCATTTAACCAGGTGGGTGGGGCTACGGCTGACCGCGCCTCCTTTCGAATCAAGGCCACCGTGTGGGCGCGGCTTACCAGATCCAATGAACTATAGGAATTCAACGTCGGCCCGCCCATCCGTTTCGATTAATTGGCGCAAGAAAAAATGGACAGGTCTTGCCCGCTGGCCCCGCCCACTAGACGGGCCGCCCCGCCGCTCTTCCCAAAGGACAGGCCACCTGACCAATGAAAAGCCTGCCTTGGGGCCGAGAGGGCGGGTCCGCGTCTCCACAGAGCAGCAGGCGCTGCCTGAGGGGACGAAGTCCACCTTTTTATCCCGCTCCCGTTTGCAGAACAAGCGGCCTTCTGGGTCTCCGGGAGGGTCGCCTGAGTCAGGCGGCCCCTGTTTCTTCCCTCGCCCAGAAGCCGACCGAGCGGGAACGAAGCCAGCCGAAGAAAAACAGCCTCGCCCTCTTTCCTGCCCCCGCCTCACTCACTTGAGCGTGAGTGAGGGGCGGCTCGGCCAATCGCAGCCCCCATCTGAGCCAGGAGGCGGTGCGGAGGCGCGGCTGGGCCAATCAGCAGTGCGGCTCTCTCTCCCCCTCAGAGCCGCGCCGCGACAGAGCAGGAAGGCCCCGGCCAGCCCCGGCCTCGGTGTCGGCCCCGGCAGCGCCGAGCGGCAGGTGAGAGCCGCGCCGGTCGGGGTGGGAAGCCAAGGAAGGGCGGCGCTCCCGTCTCTGCCCTTGCGAGGGGCTGGCTGGGGGGGTGGGGGTGGTCGTGCGGACCCCTCCAGCGGCCCCTCTCAGACCTCCGCCCGCGCTGTCGCCCGCCTGGGGGTGTGGCTGCCCGGCCGCACGTGGGGGTGCGGCGCCCGGCAGGCCTCCCTTCCCTTGCGAGAGGACAGCCCCCCTCCCGCGGGAACCCAGGGCGCGCCTTCCGCGCTGCACGTGAGAATGCCCGGACGCGTGTCGAGCGGCGCTGGTCACCGGCGGGGCTTTTGAGGTTGGTCCGGTTGGCGGAGCGCCGAAAATCGCGGTCTGGCGGGTGGGCTGTTATTGCGGGGCTGTGTCGGGGGAGTTGGGGGGGGGGGCAGCCGCCTGCCTTTGTCTGCCGGGGGGTTCAATGCTGGCTTCTTGGAAAGGTGGGGAGAGGCCGGGACCCGCGTGGCTGGGCAGGCTGGGGGTCCTCCTGCAGAAAAAAAGAGGACCTTTTTCCTCCGGGAAGAAAGAAGCGGAGGTGCCGATCAAGGAAGGGAGAGGCTGGATTTGACCCGTGTTTTTGTCTCGTCTGGGCTTGCTTGGAGGGTTGCGGGGAGGATGCCCGCGTGGATGGACGCGCGTGAACCCAGACCCTTCATTCCCTCCCCAAAGCAAGCAAGCAAGCAAGCAAACAAAAGAACCTCCTCGCTGTTGAAAAAATACAGAATGCAGACTCGCTCCTCCCCGCTTTTGATTTTCACCTTAACCAAAGGGGTGTAATTTTTCTCTCCCCGTGTTTTCTGTCACGGGTTCACACACTCCCTTTTCTTGAAGGGTGGCTGAGACGAGCCTGAAAAAAGGTGGGCTCTCCTGCTTGTTTTTGAGCCCAGCCCCTTTATTTTGAGCCTCGACTCCCGATTTGACTGGGTCTGTTGAGTGGGCTTCCTGGTCGGAGCGCATCCCCATCCCTTGCTTACTCCTTCAGGATCCTGATTGGGGAGAGTCAGGAGGCTGTGGGCGGTTGAGACTTTGCAAAACTAAAGCTGGGGGAAAAAAAAGATGTCTTTTTTAAATGATTTATTCTCATTGTCGGTCTGTGTGGCTTAAAGCAGCGGGAGAAAAGGTGGGGCAGAAAGAGACAGAGGCGAGTTGAATTATTAACTATTCTGGAACCAGATTCAGTAGGGAAAGAGGTGGGTTTGGTCACTGGATAACTTTGGAGTCATATACTAAGGCCAGCGCGTGGACGTCTGGGCTTGGTCCAAAGGCTTTGTGCTAGAGAATACTCTGATGCAGGGTGTTAACTTCGTGACGAGTGGCCGGAAATCCATGCAGCATTTTGTGGTTACAGGTGGAATGTAAGTGATGAAATATTATTTTGACTGCATGAGGCTTTACTCTCTGTAGCACAGACTTGACATGTCAGGAGGAGGGAAAACAAACCTTGCATGAAACGCCGCTGCGGTTCTTAGGCTCTGTTTATCCTCTGAATAAGAGGAAAGGTTTGTCAGGAATGCAGTGAAGTCGAAGTGAGTTTGGGTTGTTTTAAAACTAGTCTCATTTGCCAGAGGAAGTCATGATCAATTACTCAATACTGGATCAGGCAGGTTTCTTTCCTTCCGAGAACCGCGGCACATATTTTTTCCTTCTTTGTCTCTTGCTTAATGAAATTGGACGGTGACTAAAGCTAAATGAAGGATGTGGGTGTGCCAGAAAGGATTTGCTTCCAGTAATAATAGCTTGGACCAGCTCCTAATCTAAGTGCCTTGTGAGGAATTGTATTGACCTTTCCTTATTGCTTATCTTTCCAGGGGCTGAGGCTGGATTGCTGAGGATGGTGTGTGCTTCCCAGTGGCCGGAGTGGAAACAGGCCATTACCGAGTTATCCCACCTTTGGTGAAAGTGCAGCCATGTCTGTGATGATAGCAAGGAAGAAGGTGACGCGGAAATGGGAGAAGCTGCCAGGAAGGAATACTTTCTGCTGCGATGGGCGCATTATGATGGCCCGTCAGAAAGGCATCTTCTATTTGACACTGTTCCTCATTGTGGGAACGTGTGCCCTCTTCTTTGCTTTTGAGTAAGTTCGTAAAGATTGACCTATTTGCTTGAATGTTTTATTCACAAGGCTGGAGTTCATTTACGGCCCACATTCTTATAGATTATAGTTGCTCTAGCGTGCTACAGTCCATTTGGCTTCTTGTAGAGATGAATATGCTTTTTCCCCTTGATCGCTTTGGATGAAAGCAGTGAAGTTGTCTCTGTTCCCCCCCCCCAGTACATACTTCAAAGAACATACCAAAGGTCAGATGGTCAAAGCAGGACATGCCAACAATCATCTCCATTATTTATTTGTTTTTAAAGAAAGATTTGCTAAATGATGTCAGAATTCTGTTTGGAAAGGTACTTCTGCTTAAAACTCGCTTTCATTCTTGTGGTTTCTTATTTGAAAGAGCTGAATCAAATGAAGGAATTTAATACAGTAACGTTTAATCCCTTGTAAAAAGTGAAGAAAATTCTTGGATCCTTTCCTGGTATGGAACACTGTGTCAGATTTCAAAGAGATTTGAATGGTAGAGACCGGATGCATTTGCCTTGTTAGAGAGATGCGATTTCCATTGTGGATTGGGCAGGATTTGTTATTGGCCAGAATGCCTTGTTTCCCAGAATATGGTTCACCTTTGGGAGAATATTCTGATAGGAATGGCTTACGTTATGAACTAGAAAATGGCATAATAAAAGGATGTTGGTTGTCTTCTGCCAGTAATCTTTGTAGCATACTTTGCAGAAACCTTTTTGGAACTGCTTAGTTGTGAGGCCCATAGGCTTTTGTGTGTTTTTCTGAAATTTATGCACTTCTGCTTCTCAGGTTCATAACCTGGTCAGCTGGTCAAAAGAAGATTAATTTCTGGAAAAGGATGTAGTTTAATGCATAGTATATAAAAACAAGCATGTGCAGGGGTCATTTTTTTTGCAGATTGAAGGGGAATTCTAGTTATACTGGTTGACTGCTGTCTTCACCGGTTCATGATTATTTTTTTGGGAACTAAATCTGATATGAAAGAATGTGGACACCAGAGGAAACTGGCATGTATGGCACTGTCCCCCATATCTTCATCCTTTGGAGCTACAGTATCTAATGAATACCTTTTCTCATATTTCCTGTTAAAGCTCCGAGCACATCTGAAATCCACAGCTGCAGTTGTGGGTAGTAGGAACAGATATTTTCAGTCGTGTCTTCTCTCACAGCCTCTGTTTTGGAACAGTTGTTTAGAGTTCTACCAAAAGAATTTGTTTAAAAAAAATTTACATGCTTTTTAAAGAATATTTACTTCTAATATTTTAGACCATCTTGCCATGCCTATTTTCACCTGTTGCTTTGGACTATTTTTTTTATTTGTTCATTTTTAATATTTATATAAATACAGACTTTGCTGCTAGAGCTCCTGGCATTCTGAATAAGATAGCTTGTTGAACATGAAGGGGACTTTCAGAAGCATAGTATCCTTTATATCCTCTGGGTGCTTTATGTGTATATCCAAGGCCAATCTTATATATCTTGATTCTGGCATTGTCTACCTCCCATCTCCTTCAGTGACACTGCATCACTCTTCCCAGTCTTGGCTGCCTCAATTTGTAATGGGTTCCTTAGGGTTTTATGACTGTTGCGTTCATGAGGATAATAGAGTGATTGATCAGTCTTGTTACACAAATGTTTATATGTTGGCACTCATGCCTTTCAACTCACTTTGATGAGCATTCAAGCATTTGCTGGTGAGAGGGGGTAGACTGGTCTGAGTGCCCGCTTCTCATCCATGAAAATTAAAACTCGAGATTCAGCATTTGGCCATTTCATTTCTTTTGTTCACTTAGAATTTGCTCAGAGTTCTTCCTTGTTTAGCCCTGGATGGGGTGACTGTGTCCAGAAAGATTTGGGGGTCATTTAGGAGATTCCTGCTTGGATCAAAGCCGCAAATTATAACCAGGAGGGTCTTATTCAGGAACTCTGATGATGCATGAGTGGTGACCTTCTTTGGATCAGGAAATTAGTAACTCATGACCTTGTCATGTCATGTTGTGTTTGGATTATTACAATTTACTGTTTATGAAACTGTCCTTGAAGGCAGTTTGGAAACTCTAATTTAGTGTCTGGTCACGTGTCAACAACCAATTTTGTGGAAGGTGTATTCTTTATCAGAAACCTCTTGGGTGCAACTCAAGGTGCTGCTAATCACTTATAAAAGCCCCATATGGCTCAGGTTGCTGCTATTTTGGGTACCCTGTGACCCCAAAGTAGCCCCTGCCCATCCAGTCCCCAAGATGGGAAGATTAATGCTATGGGTGAGGAAGGGTCAAGAGGGCGGCAAGTTAATATGGGGGAGGAAGTGGGGAACCAGGCCTTCTAATTATAGTTCCTTCACTTTGAAATAGCCTCCATACTGAAGTGAGGATGACTCCGTTCCTGTTTTTATTTTGAAAAGCAGCGAAAACTGCTTTTTCCATGGACCTTTTGGAGGTAGAAGGAAACAGTCAACTTACGGAAGCAGTCTGCAGCTTAAATGCTATGTGATGAGTTGCTATTTATTGATTTTACTATTTGTCTTTTATGATAGTTTATGTTTTTATCTTGTGGGTTGTCAAGAGTCCTAGGCGGAGAAGGGATATCTTAATAAAACAAATACTGTTGTATTAATTAAACAATGTTAATTGGATAACATTGTTACCCAGAGAGATTGTTGAATTCTGCCTTTGAGAAAATTTCAGAAATAGTTCTTCAGCTCTGAATAAACTATGCTGAATTCTTCTCCAAAGAGCTCAGGTTGATGTTTAGTTCTTCTCACTCCTTTTATTCTTGTAAAATCATAGAAGGTGGATTAGGCAAAAAGAGCTGTTCATATCTGAACATCAACCTTCAGATGCCCAGATTGTGCATGGCAGTGTGCATGGAAGCTGAACCCGAGTCTCTGTACCACTTTTCTGATTTTAGTCCCTGTACCGTATTGGCATTTTCCTAGAGCAGTGGTTCTCAACCTGTGGGTCGGGACCCCATTTGGGGTCGAACGACCATTTCACAGGGGTTGCCAAACAACGCAGTCCGCCATTTCCCCCCCTTTTCCTTAGCTGTGCTACTCCCTTTTATTCTATTGGCTTTTGAAAGCCAATAGAATAGACTCTCTTGAATAGAGTCTAATTCTATTGGCTTTCAAAAGCCAATAGGAATTGTCCAGGCTGTCTCTACCCTGCTGAACCCGCCAAAAGTCCCATTCTGCAAACGGTGCTGCACCAGTTGAGTAGTCCTCGACTTACGACCGGTTGAGTAGTCCTCGACTTACGACCGGTTGGGGGTCGTGGCATTAAAAAGGTTGAGAACCACTGTCTAGAGTAATATCTTTAGATACTTCTCTCCCACCTTGGGTCCAGAGTGGCAATATCATATCATAACATTGTTCAGTAAGCTGTTCTCAGGTTAGAGAAGGTGGCAAAACAATGAATGAGTAGAACTGTTCCATAAGTTATATGATTTAATATCGTTCACTGAAAAAATCTAGGAGAAATATTACCCCAGTCTGCACTTTGGCATGAATCAGCACTAATGCAAAGTGGGAAGTATAGTAACCAGAGGTCTTGTTCTTTATATGTAGCTGCTTGATTGATGATATCAAATATTAGAAATAAATAGCTATGTCAATATGTGAAAGATTATGTTTGAAAACTGGGATAAATAAATAGAGAAAAGATTGCTATATGTGAACTTCTAGAAAGGTTAATTCAATTATATCAATTTATATGAAAGTGGAAGTTGTAAAACTTCATGTTATTAGTTCAATGTACATCTTCAATCTCTTCTCCACTCTTCAGGTTTGCAAGAAGAAATTAGATAAAGACCATGATGTTCTAACCACCTGTGATGCTGGGGAAGTGTTTCTAAATAAAGAAAGAAAGCTTTGAATTTTTTAATACATTTGCTTGCATTTGTTAACATTTCAGTAAGATCCTGGCATTCTCCTCTAAGCAGAAATGAGGTTGAGAAAGGACATGGTGAAGGATATCATTGAGGACTATTGTCTAAATTCAGAGCGAAAGTAAACAGCAACTTAATGTTGATTTTCTTATGCATGTTTAGCCTGTGAGACAAGGTTAATTGGCTGATTGTGTCACTTCCAAACAAAACAGTCATTTTGCCTCTGATGCACATGGAACTTTGAAAGAAAGAACCAGAATGTTCTGCATTTGAACCTTGCTTCCAGAAATGTTGAAAGCTATAGAAGGATTATTTTAAGAAATCACTGTGATTCATTTAAGCTATTACTGTATTTAAGCTGTGGGGGTCTTTTTCCCTCACAATATTTTTGACTTTCGGAGTTGGATAGGTGGTTCAGGTATTTTTTTTTTTTTTAAGAAAACAGATGTTATCAAAACAACTTGATTGTGTTGTGAATAAGTTTATCTAAGTCATGTGAACTTATTTCCATTAATGCTTAAATGCTGTTTGTGTTTCAATATCCTGCCTGCGCTTTTAGATCAACCAGATAAAAATGTTGGCATGGAATACTATTACTGGCGATGTGCCTTTTCTCCCAAGGGGCAGGGCTGCCAATTTGATATAGAAGTGTATGTGTTCCTTTGGGTGCAAACATTTTTATTGTGTCATATATGTGTTTATGATGGAATACCCAAAGTAGGAGAGATGGATGGGGGATGATAAATTTGGAATCCCTCTAAATTGGACTACTGTGCAGCTAAAATATATAAAACTAGACAACCTGTCACCCATTGCCATTGTTTCAGTGAGTATCCATTCGCGATATACATGATTGTAAACATTTTACCTCTGTTCCTGCATCGTATCACCCAATTAAAGGTTACGGATATGAGAGTTTTAATAGTACATACTGTACCGGTAGATAACCCATGAGTGAAAAAATCTTGCTCTTGTTATTCCTCTTATTCTCCGCTCTCAGTATTTAAAGGGCTGGACATTTTAACTCGTTAAGTATGTCTGATTGTTTTGATTGAAATATGAGATCAGCACAGTCCTAGATGATCACAATATCTGTGTGAGCTTTTCCTCCATCATTATTCTTTCTTTTTTTAAAATCATTTGCAAAACAGGCACATGATTGTTCAAAACCATCTCCTTAAAAGAAGAATTCTTTGGGTAAAATAAACATTTAGACGTACTCGTACATAAGTGTAAAATGTGAGGGTATTGGCACAAAAGTGAATATATAGAGTGTGCAACTTGTTTTCTCTGATGTAATCGTTCTTTCTTGGGAGTAATAGGGGAAGAGAGAGTTGACCAGGAGAAGACAAATGGAGTCAACTACAGTGCATTTTATGTTGTGTTAATTTTCTCCAGTAGGACAGTCTATCGAGCAACTTTCAGCCATCTCATTTTCTCTTCTTGCAACAGAGAAGAGATTCTCAGTTGACAGCTGCTTTAGAATTGGTTGTTCCCTCTTGTTTAATTTCTTCTACAGAAGAATGGGTGGTGCCTGCTGAGTTTTTCCTCAACCCCTTCTTACCTATTTCTGTGATACCTTGGAGCCGTGGTGGTGCAGTGTTTAGAATGCAGTATTGCAGGCTAACTCTGCCCACTGCCAGGAGTTTGATCCTGACCGGCTCAAGATTGACTCAGCCTTCCATCTTTCCGAGGTTGGTAAAATGAGGACCCAGATTGTTGGGGGGCCATACGCTGACTCTGTAAACCGCTTAGAGAGGGCTGTAAAGCACCGTGGAGCAGTGCATTTTTGTTTTTTATAGGCAGGAATACTGTTAAAGTGGGGGGTAGAAGAAATTTGATAACATTCTATATGTCTCTACTGTATTTCCTGTTCTATTTTATTAATGTCCTGGTCAGTCATTGGATTGCTGACATGTAGATAGCTCTGAGAAAGATTTTGGTCTGAAACCCGGCAGAGCTGCTATTGGTTGACTTAGAGCTAAGCTAAATGAGACACCTTCCTATAATTCAATAATGAAATAAAACAATTGTGTAAGAAACTCGGGCAGGGGTGGAAGGGTTAGGATTCGAAAGAAGAATGGTACAGTCCACTTGTTCCCATGCAAAAAAATTGTTACATACCCATACATACCTTCACATTTGCAAGTCTAGCTTTAATAGCTCCCTGTGAGCCCAGGGTATAATCATTGTGTTATAGCAGGGTTAAACCCAGCCTGCATATAGACTACCTTGGAACTTACATTATTTATTTATTTATTTATTTATGAGACTTCTATACCGCTTTAAGTGCAAGCACTCTCTAAGCGGTGTACACCAGTAAGCAATGTATATATATATTTACATTGCCCCCAACAATCTGGGTCCTCATTTTACCTACCCCGGAAGGATGGAAGGCTGAGTCAACCATGAGCCGGTGAGATTTGAACCGCTGACCTGCTGAACACAGTCAGCTAAAGTGGCCTGCAGTACTGCACCCTAACTGCTGCGCCACCTCGGCTCATTAAACAGTTTTCACCTACAAAATACTGCGTAAACAAGGGCCAGTGCCTTTGCTCATTTTTATACTTTCAACATTACTTCAACTCCTCGGGGCTGTTAAACAAGTGCCAACGGAGCGTGTCAATAAATGCCATAGGAGGAGAAAGGTAGTAATCAGTGCAGGTCTTTATACAAATGTGAGTTGGTTTTAAGCCTGCACTGGAAGCCGCTGAAATATTTCCAAGAGCTTCCAGCAAATGTGGGATTGGCAAGCATTGTTTTTAGAAAGGGTTTTTTTTTTTTAAATGCAAATTGCAGCAAGAAGTCCCTTCTGTGGCCTCTGGTGAAATGATGGAAATCTGCAGTTCTTGGATTCTTGCCTGGAGCCCCTTTTTTGGAACCTTTTTAAGTCTTCCAGGGAACGAACGTCTTTGCGTTTGATTTCAGTGACCTGAATTCTTTCTCATTCCAGGTGCCGGTATCTCGCTGTCCACCTCTCCCCAGCTATCCCCGTCTTTGCAGTCATTCTCTTTTTGTTTGCAATGGCCACCCTGTTGCGGACAAGCTTCAGTGACCCAGGAGTTATTCCACGGGCCCTACCTGACGAGGCAGCTTTCATTGAAATGGAAATAGGTAGGTGGGTGGCAAGTGGCGAAACCAGCCAGCCAAAGGATGTGGAACACTTCTCCCCCTATTTCGCCCCGTGAGATGGGCAAAAGTCAGGCAGCGAGAAAGGTCTGCTTTCATTTCAGAGGCAACCAATGGAACGGTGCCTCCCGGCCAGCGGCCGCCTCCCCGCATTAAGAACTTCCAGATCAATAACCAGATCGTGAAGCTGAAGTACTGCTATACCTGCAAGATCTTCCGTCCGCCCCGGGCCTCACATTGCAGTATTTGCGACAACTGTGTGGGTGAGTGGCAGAACTGCACTCCAATCCCTTCAGGGCTCTTATTTGGGGCTGGGAAAAAGGCACCGAAGTACGCTCACCCAATGGTCGGTGAGCTGGCTGCTATATGCTGCTCTGCAGAATTTAGACGTTGTAAGGCAGTAAGCACTCTCTTTTGCTACTGATTGAAGGGAAAACAAAATTGAAGGTCTGGCCCCTCCACTCACCGGATGCAGGATTTCTACAGTCGCCAGTTTGCAAACCTGTCTTTAACTGTAAATTCTAGACTTTCAGTGAAATGAAAGCAGGAGTCCTTGGTTTGTAATTTTGATGCCACGCAGGCTACCACACGGTCTACGTCTGCTGTGGTTTGGAACTTCCCTACAATACAGGATGAGAATACCTGCAAGCAGAGCATCAGAGCTTGTGTGGTGTTATTGTCTTCAGGTTCAGATAAAGTAGACCTTGTCCCAAACAGCTTATTTAAGCTTTGTTCCCTCTGCATTACCCACATTGGTCAATGGTAGGTTTACTTCACTTATACACATAAAAATTTGGAAAGCCCCTTTCTTGTAGGTTGCTATGTTTCACGCTGTCATGGAGGAATGCTTCTTAAAATGATGTGAGTTTGGAAGACAGAAGTTGCCCACTTGATAATCCTTCCACCTCAAAAATGAGTGCATGAATCAGTTTCATAGTTAGCCAGAAGGATTGCAGCGTGGGTTTGGGATGTGAGTGAAACTCTACACATGCTGGCATCTGGCTGAAGTTTCTGTGATGGCACCAAAGCATCAAGCTTCTCTGTTTTTTTTTTTTTTACAGAGCGTTTTGATCATCATTGTCCCTGGGTAGGAAACTGTGTGGGAAAGAGGAACTACCGTTATTTCTACCTCTTCATCCTTTCGTTGTCCCTCCTCACCATCTACATCTTCTCCTTCAACATTGTCTACGTCGCCCTGAGTGAGTGGGGCTTATAGTAAAGGGAGGGAATTGGACTAAAAGCTTGGGGAGGCATCTCGGAAAGGAAGGAAGGAAGGAAGGAAGGAAGGAAGGAAGGAAGGAAGGAAGGAAGGAAGGAAGGAAAAAAGAAAGAAAGAAAGAAAGAAAGAAAGAAAGAAAGAAAGAAAGAAAGAAAGAAAGAAAGAAAGGGTGGGGGCTGGGGAAAAAAAGCCTTCCCTCTTGGTGTGGTTAATAATTGCAGATGACATACATTGCATTTTTCATTCCATACAGAATCCCTGAAGATCGGCTTTTTGAGTACGCTAAAAGAAACTCCAGGGACATATCTTTTCTGCTTTTAACGTGCCCGGAGAGGAACAGGAGAGGAACCATTGGGCCCTGCTCTCCAGTGAGGGTGGGGAGGGTGGGGAATGGAGTAGGATAGCGTTGGGAGAAGTTAATGATTCCGTTAAGAGTTTGTTTTCCTTAACTGAGCTTTCCACGGCCCTGGAGGTTTTGATCTGCTTCTTCACCCTTTGGTCTGTAGTGGGCCTAACTGGATTCCACACATTCCTGGTAGCCTTGAATCAGACAACGAATGAAGATGTAAGTACTTCCAAAGGCACATTTCTTCCTGTAAATTCTCTCTCTCTCCCTCCCTCTCTCTCTCTCACACACACAAACACTCTCTCTCTCTCTCTCTCTCACACACACACACAAACACACACACACATACACACACATCTCTGTGAGAATGTTCTTTTTCAGAAACATTTGTTAGAGCTATTCGTATTAGAAGTCTGTGTTTGGTCTTGCTCTAGGCAGGCGTGACTAAGTTTCTTGAAATAATATCCATTCTCCCTTAATTGGGTTGAAGCCACTGGATTTCCTTCCAAAGAACACAGTAAACTTCCTTCCAAACATGTCAGTTTTTTAAAAGAAATCTTCATTTACTGAAGTGAAGACTCAATATGCATTTCCATCTTCTGTCCTTTTGTTACAATTTGCAGTGTTTCCCCCCCCCCCCACAGTTCATTCCAGCAAGGCTTCCAGCTTTCTTGAATCCTTAAAAAGAATAGAACCTGCCTATTCAGTTGGGCAGTTGTTTCTTTTCAGCTGCAAGCAGTAAACAGTCTTTGACTGAGGTATCCGACTTTGGGGGAGTAAAACTCTTCTGCAGAGGAGGAAGGCCTCTCATTAGAATGAAGTAATTAGAAAAACAGCAGGTGCCGAGAGTTCCAGGAGAGATCTGTTGGAAGAAGCCAGAATAACTTGAAAGATGCTTTTCATTTGGGATCTGGATGTACATCATCACACAGATCAATGCTAATGTTGGATTTGTATTTTTGGAGGCTGCCCTTCTTGTTCTTTCAGATTAAAGGCTCCTGGACAGGGAAGAACCGTGTGCAGAATCCTTATAGCCATGGGAACATTGTGAAGAACTGCTGCGAAGTTCTGTGTGGTCCTTTGCCTCCCAGGTGATGGTTCAAGCTGTATCTTGTTCCCTGTGTATGAAGCAGTGCAGCATTTGTGGTGTAGAGGGATTTGTGGGAAGGGCCCTTTCCAGCAGATCGAAGTCTGAGACGGAATTTAGCTGTTGAGGGGTCCTCTGACCTGGGTTGTGTTCTTGCAGCTGTTTCATTACCCAAACTAGGTAACATCATCAGTGCTAGTGATCGGATGATGTCATCTAGTGTGGGTAATGAAACGTCGGCAAAAAAAAAAAAAAAAAAACCCAGCCAAGCTCAGAGAGCACCAAGGACCCCTCATTTCAAATATTCTCCTTTATTGGTAATTTAGCTGTTCTCATCTCTAAACTCTTTCTTCCCCTCCCCCTCCAAATTGTATTTTCCCTGATTTCCCACTTCTGCTTCATAGCGTGCTGGATAGACGGGGCATCTTGCTTCAAGAGCATGCTATCTCAGGGAGCGGAGCTGGGCCTGAGCCCAGAACGCAAGAAGAGAGAAGCGCAGAGGAACGCAGAGCCCAGGAAGCCGAGGGCGGCAGTGCCTTCCCGGAGGGAAGCCTGGTAGGTGTGGAAAGCACAGATGCACTTAGAATGAAAATTACCTCCGCCCAGGCTTGGCACCAGCACTGTTTTCTAGTAGCCCAGAGGCAAGTTGCCGGGTGGATGGATTTCCAGAAAGGATTTTTACGATTTTTACGTTAAGCCGCATCGCTTAACGTGCCTCCAAACGTCCCCAAGGTGGACAGTTTTGTTTTCAAGGAGCCGTTTGCGGGATTCTGCCGTGAACAGTCCTTCTCCTTTCTTTTCTTCCTCCCCAGCTCCCTGGGCCAACGGACAAGGTGCCACAGGAAGCCACGAAGCCACCTGTGGCTGCTGCTGCTCCAGAAGAAGAAGAATCATCATCTGCTCAAACACTCGATCCTGTGCAGATGACACCTTAGCCTCCGAGGTGAACACGAGAGTGCTTTTACGTGGCTGCCCCTTGTGAAGCTGCAGCGTGAGCAAGGACGGGGACAGCTGGCTGGACAGCATGTTGTTCCTTAGGCGGTTTGTTCGCCAACGGTTCCGAACAGTATCTCCAAACTGATGTTGCCAATGCTCCCTTTCTCATGGAGAGGCTGGGCACTCGGTTGTGCTGCTTGACGGACTCTCCGTCTCTCGCCCAATTAAACGAGTGCCTCTCTGGCCCCCGGCCTTGAGTTCTCTGGAACATGGAATTTGCTGGGAAGAAGACGGAACTGGCGATTGTGATCTGTGCCATCTTTCTCCTTGTGACTGCAGTATTGTGTGTTTGACTGGTCTCGTTTGCCAAGGGAGTCAGGCTGGATCCATGGAAGCTAGCACCTGCCAAGTTCAAAAATCGTAGCCTTCCTAAATGTTCCTGACAAACAGTGCCAACTGGCAGCGCCAAGCCCCAAATAGTCCTAAATTACACCCTGCCAGAGGACCTTGAGGTCCTTTTGTCTCCCCCGACGTCTGTTCAGGTATTGGAATCTGTGGTGCAGTATCGACCTTTCCTCTCCTCCCTCACTTTTCTCTCCTCCCTTTTCAATTAGAAGTGGTTCTGATTCTTCTTCCGTATCCTGGAAAGGTAGAACTTCCCTTCTCGCTAGCAGTTACCGAAGGGCTGCTGGGGAAATGGGTCATAGGGGCAGCCTAAATGCTCTGGAAGCAGAAGAGCCAGCGTTGTATGGTAGGAAGCTTATTACTGTACAGATAGATGAGGTGGGCTCTTAGTCTGTGACTTCTGTACAGCCCATAATGTCTGTGCTCTAAGCTCTCTAGATCCAGTGCTGAAAGCTGCTTTGGGAAATATCTGACTAAATTATGGTTGAGTCCGGACCGTTGTGTTGTTATTCAGTCCTCTCTCTCTGAATGTGCACAGAGAATCTGTATGTCAGGAAAGCCATATATACTCTGAGTTTGGATGGGTGGGCAGGGGGCCCCCACTATATCTCTGCTCGTAGAATCATACCGCAAAGCTACACTACCGTACACACTTCTGTGGTGACTGTGCCAGTCAGACAGAAAATGGAGATAAATGTTTTGAAGGCTGTGTATCTCCTTGGCGATGGAAAAATAATGTGGGTTGAGAGACAAAGCTGGCTAAGAATCATTTTCCCTGGGGGTTTTATTTTGTTTCCCGCAAGAGAATGTTTGGGGAGTGAACTTAAAAAAAAGAATCCCTGTTTTCTGAATACAGAAGCTCCCCTCTCTAGAGTGGGGAAAAAAAGGATGGCTAAATCTTTGAACCTAGTTCCCAAGAACGTCTGTGGAGATTCTCAGTCATCCAGCTCATGGTTGTCTCAAAGATGCTTTTTCAAAGGCAGCTGGACTTTCTTTGTTTTTCCTTGAAGATGTTTTGCTTCTCCTTCAAGAAGTTTCTTCGGAAGAACTGAAGAAACTTCTTGGATGTGAAGCGAAGCGTCTTCAAGGAAAAACAAAGTCCAAGTTGTCCTTGAAAAAGCGCCTTTGGGATTAGTGCCTGCTTCAGATGTGTAGAGAATCCCAGGAAAAACCATAACGAAAAATGGTTGGGAAGAGAATTGCGACGATTAACTTTCTCGCATCCCTGCTTGCCTCGGGACAGCCAATAATTGTGTCACAGAGCTACTGAGATTGGAGTCTGGCAAGGCTCCTGCCGTATTTTGGAATAATACCATCTGCCCTCCCCAGCTGGCTCAATGCCTTACAGAAATAGAAGCCGTTTCTATAATGGCTGCCATGATTGACAGGAGAGCTACTGTAATATGGTAGTCTGCGTGGCTTCCACACCCCGTTGTGGGAAAAACAACTCTTTTCCAGTGTGTCTGTCCATCCTTGTGTCAAGAACAGAAAGCGCTGCTGGTGCTTTCCCCTTGCTGCCGAACAAATCACCTCTTCCGTTTAAGATACCACTTTCCATGTTCTGTGATGGATTATTCCAGGGAGTGGGACAGTGGTAGCTGCTTAATATGTCCACCTCTGATTTCAATGAAGGTTTTGGAATTGGTGTGTTAAGTTTCGTTTGTGTGATTGTGGCCTCAGACGGCCCCTGCTGCTCACCTCCTTTCTGCAAGAGGCCTGACCACTCCTGCTTCTCTGCAAGAGTCAGTGTTCCCCTTAATTGCTTCTTTTTGTAAAGTACATAACTTTTGCAAATCAAGAAAAAAGCTGCGCTAAGCAGACCAGCCCTGTGTGCAGAGCACAAAACTAGGCAACGGATATATATCTCTTTTGCTGCCAGTTTTCAAGATCAGGTCTGCTTAACTTAACATTTAGTATTCTCCAAAACCTGTCTTTTGAGATCTTTGAATGTTTTTGGATGAAGCCTTGGGGCAATAAGCCACCAAAATGAACTAGCTGTACTTCATAGTAGAGTCCTGGGTCTAATGTGTCCCTTCCTTCCTTCCTTCCTTCCTTCCTTCCTTCCTTCCTTCCTTCCTTCCTTCCTTCCTTCCTTCCTTCCTTCCTTCCTTCCTTCCTTCCTTCCTTCCTTCCTTTTCTTTTCCTTTCCTTTCCTTTGGCAGCTGAGGAATATTTTACCTTTTAGTTTTTTCTGAAAATAATACAGACATACAGGGTCATCTCTACCCTCCAGAGATAAATGTGCTTTATTGAAAGATCTGTACCAGAGAATAGTGCTTGCCATTCCATAGAGTAAGCCAGTTTGGAAATTGCACCTACCTTGTTCTTCATTAGGATCTTGTCCTAAAGCTACAAAAACCTAGCTGTTTACAATAAAATAACTAGATATATTTGAAAAGAAGTAGAGCAGAAGCCTCCCCCCCTGCTCTTCCCGACTAAAGCTACAGGAGTTGGGACCCTCTTCTTCTTGATGGGATGATGGAAGAAGGCCAGAGGCTGCATTCAGAAGTTCGTTGTCCATCTTTGCGGCAGTATTTGGATTGTGCAGAGCTGTCGGGGGCAAGCAAACCCTCTTTGCACCCGAGAGAAGACTGGGCACATGGAGGCAGAGACGAGTTCCGTTGCTTCTCATGGTAAGCGCCTGCTCACTGCAGCCAAAACTCTGAAAGAGGAGCCTCTGTCATGCAACAGTCTTTGGTGCAGTAATCAGTGAGGATTCTGGATCCCAGCCTTCTCCTCATTTACCAGCCAGGACTTGGAGTTGTTATTCCTACTCAGCCTGAAGAGTTATTTGGGGGGACGGAACAGAGGCACGTTCCTGGAAAAACAGCTTGTACTGGCCAGCCAACTGGGTCTCAGGATGCAGAGAGAGGAGTCTTCCCCTCAGCCCAAACTGGTCAGAGAATGGGATGGCAGCCCCTCCTCAAGCTTCACGTCTTCTTCCCGCCCACTGTCCAAAGTTTCCGCCCCTTCAAAACAGCCAGAATCGCGGGGAACGTCTTCTTTGAGCTCTCCAGGAAAGAGCTGACCCTCCACGTTTCCTCCTTCCTCTTCAGCCTCACTGCTCGCTGGGAAGAGAGAAGCCCAGTTGTTAAACAGAAGACCGGACGGTGCTAAAAGTGGCAGGGGAAAGGGAAAAGGAGGGTCTTGCCTCACTTGTTCCTGAGTGAGAAAAGTTCCCATAACCCGGCTTGCGATGAGCGGGAGCTCGTGGTAAATGTTGGGACCACTAACCAAGTCTGCTGTGTAGCTTCCCTCTACGGAGGCAGGTTTACATGTCCCAGGAAACTACTCTTTCAAGATTTGCAACGGTCTGCCTCATCGTGCTCCAGTCCAATTTCTCAATTCGGTTTCATGTCACAATTGGTTTTTAATACCAAATGTGATAGGATTTCAAAGTGGGGCTTTTTGCACCCAGAACTGGTCTCACTTCAAGAACGGGGCCTGACAATGGAGGGGGAAGAAAGAAAGAAAGCTCTTTTGGAGGGTGAAGGACACCTACTGTCATAATCCAGCAGGAGATCTGCTGCTGTAAGCAGCTTGGTCCGATGCTGTGGGTCAGTGATGTTCAATTCATTCAGGTGGTTCTCTTGCAGCTCCTTGAAGTCCTCCACGGTCTGGTAACCGTTTAATAGCAGGGTAGAGGTGTGCTCCTGAATGAGGAGGGGGAAAAGACACAGTCCCATTGTAATACCTGTGATAAAGGTTACCTGACGGGGTGGGTGGGATTTGCTGTTATTGCTGTCCCTGTAATAGCAATAGCACTTAGACACAGTACTTTACAGCACTCTCTACGCAGTTTACAGAGTCAGCCTATCGCCTCCAACAATCTGGGTCCTCATTTGACCAAACTCGGAAGGATGGAAGGCTGAGTCAGCCTTGAGCTGGTCAGGATCGAACTGCTGGTGGTCGACAGAGTTATGGGAAGAAGGAAGGAAGGAAGGAAGGAAGGAAGGAAGGAAGGAAGGAAGGAAGGAAGGGCACGCACTAGCAATGGTGCTTAGACTTATATACCGCTTCACAGTTCTTTACAGCCCCCTCTTTGCAGTTTACAGAGTCATCAATTTGCCCCCAACAATCTGGGTCTTCATTTTACCGGCCTTGGAAAGATGGAAAGCTCAGTCAACCTTGATTCTAACCTTCCAAAGCAGTTTAAAAAAAACCAACAACAGTTATGGTTTAATCAACTCCAGATGCAAATTGGGACTTCTTTATCTTTTAAGATATCAAGTCTAATATTTTTGGAGAGGGCGTTGAAGAAAAAAAACAAAACAAGGCAAGCATCTGTATTTAGAGAGTCGGCATAGCTAAAGAAATAGTTTCTCTCTTGTGTGAAAGATTTACGAATGATTTGCCCTACTGCTCATTGCAGTATCTACAAATGGGGATCCACGTGTTTTCTGCCATGTCTCAAAATGAAACGGGGGAGCTCAAAACACGGGTGAGGTCCACGCCTCTGCCCTTCAGTTCCCTTTTAATATTACAATAGATGTTCAGAGAATGGTCCAATGCCATTTCCTGTTTATAAAGTAGAGTCCGGCTAGGCACGCCATCTGGGTGTTGAAGCTGGTGAGTAACACACTGTGTGATGCATTTGAGGCAGGAGGATGCTGGCAATTTCCTCACCCAGCTCAAATCTAGAATTCATTTAACCCTGCTGCCTCTGTATATTGGCCTTGGCTGCCCTAGTCCACCAAGTCTGGCCATCACCCTCTAGTCCAGGGGTGGGGAACCATGGCTCTTTTATGACTTGTGGACTTCAACTCCCAGAATTCTGGGAGTTGAAGTCTACAAGTCTTAAAATTTGCCAAGTTTGAAGACCACTGTGTTAGAGCAACGTTCTCACCTCAAGATTCATCCGTTGCAGCAGCTCTTGCAAGGTCTTGGGCTTAGGCCTTTTGCTCCTGTGCCGTGAATAGGTCTTCGTAGCCAAGACGGGCTCTTCCGGGATGATGCTGACGTAGATGAATTTGAAGGAGCCCACTTTGTCGTTCAGAAGGCCAGTCCAGGTGCCAACGGGAGGCTTTGCAATGATGTGGATGATGTCCCCTTTCTGTGACAAATGCCATATTGTTAACGTCTTTCAATCAGATCCTGTTGTATTTTCACATACTACTTAGCACGATCGTGGTTCGTTCTGCATGTCACAATGGGCTAGGTTTGCACAACACGCCATGCCCTAAAGCTGTGGTTTACAAGCTTGATTCATGCAGCACAGGAAACCCAAATCAAAACACGCTACGGGTTCGTATGACGCTTATTCCTAAGAAAAAAAGCCGCACATTTCCAAAAACATATTGTGTTGCAATGTTGACGTCTGGAGAGTGGCAGTGAGCATCAAAAGAGAACTTGAAAAAGGTAACAACGGATCTAATCTTCCGATAGCTATTTCTGTACAATATATTGGATATGTACATATCAATATATTGCACAGATTTTCTTAATAAAATCGGAGCAATATTTTATAGCATGGGTGTCCAATCTTGGCAACTTTTAAGACCTGTGGACTTCAGCTCTCAGAATTCCAGCTGGCGAATTCTGAGATTTGAAGTCCACAAGTCTTAAAGGTGTCAAGGTTGGACACACTTGTTTGATAGGAAATGAAATTGAATCTCTCAAATGACCACCAAAAACACTTATTAACCCCAATATTCTAAGTCACAGAATCGGTCCCTGATACCCAAAAGGTTGGGGACCCCTGCCCTAGAGAAAT